TCAATTTGAGAATAAACAGATACATCCATTGCTATTGTTATTCCTAATGCAGAAAGCGACAATTCGGTGCCTTTTGAGCTTCAAGATAGTTCCATATTACTACTTTAATGTAATAACTCTGTTAGTTTGGTCCTCAAGTAAAAATGCCCAATACATCTGGTAGGATCAAGTACTCTACCAGGTCTAGGGCGTAGGTGGTAAGGGAAGGATGGAGGGAGACGTGGCGAGGATCGGGCGCGCCGGCGGCAGGGCGCCGTCGCGGCTAGGAGAAGGGCGGCGGCTAGGGCTGTTGGCGGCTAGGGTTCCGGCTCCTCAGGGAGCCGGGCAATAGGAGATAATATTCTTCTTATTGCTTGCCTTCAAAAAGAGTCTTACAACCTATATTTATATCCTAGATAACTTGTAGAAGAATCAACCTAAGATAACTTGCCTAAGATAACTTGCCTAATCTGAAAATAAAAACTAAGATAACTTGCGGGCCTAAGCCGGCCGGCCATAACACTTCTCCCCGCCTGCACAAACAGCTCGTCCTCGAGCTGTAAGGTGGGGAAGCGCTTGCTTGAACTCTTCGAGGTAATCAACCAGCGTCAAACACCTTCTCGACATCTGGGGCGGCCAGGTCGGCGGCGACGGCGTCCTCCGGAATGTAGTCTGCCACCTCCAGGTAGAAGAGTCGCGGGCAGGCGTGGCCGGGCTTGTAGGGTTCGTCGCAGTTGAAGCACAACCCTTGGCGGCGACGCTCGAGTATCTCAGCTGGGGTGAGCCGGCGGAACGGGCGCCCCGCGGTCGCGGCGAGGGGTGCAGCAGAAGCCTGCATAGGCCGACCCTGCGCGGAATCCGGTCCGGGTAGCGACCCAGCAGTCTGGGACGGTGATTCCTGCTGGATGGCCACCGCGCGGCGCTCGAATGCGTGGGCGTAATACATGGCCGACTGGAGATCCTGGGGTCCCCGAAGCTCCACGTCCACGCGGATATGGTCCGGTAGACCGCCCACAAATAACTCGGCGCGCTGAGTTGCGGAGACGCCCGGCGCGTGGCACGCCAGGGCCTGGAAGCGGTCGGCGTAGTCCTGCACCGTGGATGTGAAGGGTAAGCGGCCGAGGGCCGCCAGTCGGCTCCCGCGGATAGGAGGCCCGAACCGGAGGAAACAGAGTTCCCGGAAGCACTCCCATGGTGGCATGCCGCCCTCGTCCTGCTCGAGGGCGTAGTACCAGGTCTGCGTTGCGCCTCGAAGATGATAGGACGCGAGCCAGGTGCGATCCGAAGCGAGCGTCCGCTGCCCTCAAAAGAACTGCTCGCACTGGTTGAGCCAGTTGAGGGGGTCCTCCGTGCCCTCGTAGGTGGCGAAGTCCAGTTTGGCGAAGCGAGGGGGTGTCGGCCCGCCGTGCCCGGGGGCGGCCGTAGTTGCCGCCGGCGCGTATGCTGGGTCGGGAAGCGCCGGGGCGTAGTTCGCCGAGCTGGAGGGGTGATCAAACCGCAGGGAGGGCGTCGGGTGTTCCGGCGCCGTGGAGTAGACCGGCCCCGAAGACGAGCCGGTCGCCCAAGCGGGGATCGGCGATGGTGACGGTGGAAACTGCACCTGGTGCAGGGGCCGACCCGTAGCCCTAGGCGCGGGTGGTGGTACTGTCGATGGCGGCAGCGCTTGGTGGAGCTGCACCGGCGCCTGCGGCGTGGGGGCCGGCGGTGACGCCGGAAGAAGCTGCTGGGTCTGGCCCTGCTCCGAGGCGCCGGTGCCCGGGTTAGGGCTGGGCGGGGCCGGTGGAGGACCCTGCTCCGAGGCCGCTGGAAGGTAGGGCGCGACGGAGGACGGCGCGGCCGGCGCGGTCCAGGTGGGCCACTGCGGCCCCGTGGTGGCGAGAAGTGGCGGGGCTGCCGGCGCGATCTGCGGCGGCCACTGCGCCCAAGGCGGCCGTGCGGCCGCTGGGGCGAGGAGCGCCGGGTAGCCTCCGGTGACGGCCCCCGGTGCCGAGTACCACGGAAGCGCCTGCTGACCCGCGGCCATGGCTGGATGGAGTCCGGTGATGGCCCCCGATGCCGAGTACCACGGAAGCGCCTGCTGACCCGCGGCCATGGCTGGATGGAGTGGTGGGGGCGGCCCGTACGGACCTGCCAGGTAGAGGCGGATCCCTTGAACCACGGTGACGAGGTCGTTGAGGACGCCCGCCATGGCCTCCGGCGTGAACTGTTGCGGCTGCGGGGGAGGTGATGGCGGCGACGAGTGTTGGACGGGGGCCTGTGGCTGCCCTTGGCCCGGCGTGGTGCCGGGTGCCATTAGGACCGGCGCTGAGAGCGACGCAGTGGTGCCCGCCGAGAGCGAGGCTGTGACGCCCGGCGCAGAGGCGGCGGTGGTGGAGGAGTTGGCGGGCAGCGGTGGTGGTGGCGGTGGAATTGGCGGAGACATGGTCGAAACCCGGTTACCTGATACCAAATTGGTAGGATCAAGTACTCTACCAGGTCTAGGGCGTAGGTGGTAAGGGAAGGATGGAGGGAGACGTGGTGAGGATCGGGCGCGCCGGCGGCAGGGCGCCGTCGCGGCTAGGAGAAGGGCGGCGGCTAGGGCTGTTGGCGGCTAGGGTTCCGGCTCCTCAGGGAGCCGGGCAATAGGAGATAATATTCTTCTTATTGCTTGCCTTCAAAAAGAGTCTTACAACCTATATTTATATCCTAGATAACTTGTAGAAGAATCAACCTAAGATAACTTGCCTAAGATAACTTGCCTAATCTGAAAATAAAAACTAAGATAACTTGCGGGCCTAAGCCGGCCGGCCATAACAACATCACAAGGAAACAAGAAGGGTGAAAAATTTCAAAATAGAAAATGATAGGGAGAAGAAGAAAACTAAAGCATTAACAGCAGCTTTATACTTTTAAGTTCCGCTTAGCACAACTGAATTTAGATTCTTAAATTTCAGATGATCATAGATGGTGGTATCTAGTAGGTGCTTAGTATTAGATAAGTTCCAAAACTTCAGATAAAGCTTCCACTATGAAGCCACAGTACTATACGCTAGAAAGATAGCATGCAATACTGCACTCACAAGTTCCTGTCTAATTTTATGGTTCTGTTGAATTGCAGAATTCTTTTCTTCGGTCAACTTGGAGATCAAAGCTCCAGCCTGCAAAACAAATTTGAGAATGTAAGATTGTAAGATATTTCATATCACGAGATACTAAACCCATAGCCATTATTAAAGAAACTAGATGATACCCCGCGCGTTTCTGCGGGAAACTTGTTAAAACAAATGCATAACTAGGTGCTACAGAAACAACTAAAACTAATGCAAAAGCAAATGTAAAAACGATCTAGGTTTACATTTTAAAAACAATAAAACATACAAAGTATGTGACAAAATGATGCATAAAAAGAGAAACTTCTGGATCGAACTTATGACTGGCATGCATGGCTTGATTCCCCACAAAAGAAAAGACGTGCGTGACTTGATGAGGTGCCAAGGTTTTCATGGATAGATTAATACAAAAAAATGTAACTTATGACCACATGCATGACTTGTTGATGTGGAATGGCTGCATGGAGAGGAAAATTAGGTAGTGGGTTGCACCTATGTAGCACTGATTACGAGTCGAAGGACTAGTCAAGACTAGTCGATGGACTAGTCTATGAATCGCAATTGTGGTGTCGACTGCAAATCTCGTGTAGACTCGAGCGGTCGAGAGACTAGTCGTAGACTAGTCTACACTAGTCGTGTACATTAAGTCGAACGACTCAAACTTTTTTCGAGGGGATAAGAAAGGCGCTCGGCCCGCGAGCCCGTCGGAGGGAAATTTTGTGGCTAGGTTTCAGTTTCGCTCCAGAGAAAGCTTCCCACTCCTCTGGAGCTCTCCCTCTTCACTGGTTCTGCTGTCCAGATCCAGCCCTATCTCTACTGGTTCCTGGGCTGGTTCATCTGCTCCTGGATCCTCCCTTTGCAAGTAATTTCTCCCTTCTCTTATCCTCATATGGTTCCTATATTGCTTGTTCCTTGGCTGGTTCCCCTACTGCTGGTTCCTGGTTTAGGTTTGCTTGTTTCAATTCAACATCCTTAGGTTTGAGCAGAGCTAGAGTTACAATGTCTACAACACTAGATATCTCAGACAGTGTGCTCAGCAGCCGCTTTAGCTCAAGCCGCTGAGGATTATGACCCATCAAAGGATCCTGGGAGGAAGCCAACTAGGACCAAGGACCCAGCCTTTTGGCCTGATCTGCAGGACAAATTGACAATCCAGTGTGTTTTGTGTGGCAAAAACGTCTCTTCTATAGTGCTAAGGATGAAGAAACACCTTGGTATGGGGGTTACACAGTGGTGTTAATGTGTCTGAAAGCAACCGATGAAATCAGGAAAGAGATGCATTTGTACATGAAGACCAACTCAACCAAGTTCAAAGCCACGAATTCATTTGTATTGTATACTGTACTTGTATACTTATATAGTGTAATACTACATACTACTACTCTAAGTATTACTAGTAGTTATGTACTGTAAGTTCAGTGCTACAGTACCATGTCGACTAGTCTTGCACTAGTCTAGACCAGTCACAATTAGTCTATGAGTCTCAACCTTGGAACGACTCGACGACTCTTCGACTCGTAAACATTGCTATGTAGGTATAAAGCATGAAACTTGCCGTGATACAAGATACCAGTAATCAAATTTAACATAATGTGCAAGGCCACGACCATTTTCAGGAAACTAACATAGTCCCTCCTTCCATATATATAGGGCCTAATGCGTTTTTCGAGGCTAGGTTTGACCGCATGTTATAACAATAATATATGACATGCAAGTTACACAAAGCACACCATCAAATTCGTATGTGGAAGGAGATTCTAATGATATAATTTTCACATTATACATCTCATATATTATTAATCTTATCAATAGTCAAAGGCAGCCTTGAGAAATGTATTAGGCCCTATATATATGGAAGGAGGGAGTAATTATGAGCCAACAAATCATTGATGAACTTATTACTGGATCACACACTGGAATAACAACTGACCTCTAAAGATTTTTCTTGGGGCTCAATGCGTTCTCGCAGTGCCTGCAATGAATACAGAATCAAGTAATTTTCCCTCAACAGGGGGTGGGGGGGGGTGCTAAACGTGTGGGTGCAAGTTCAACAATCATGACAACTCACTCTGGTGAATCCCCCAGCAGGACCATCTCCATTTTCTGATTCAACCCTAGATGGGGAGCCTTCCTCGGATTCTTCAGGAACTGGAGATGGTGGCTGTGGAGGTGCAACATAGGTGACTCGTAATTTCACCTCTTCAATCTTATTTCCAGATTCCTTCATAAACTGCAAGCCATTCAACAACATGACCAATCAATCAATACAGGTGTACCACCAAAGTCAACTGAGAATACCACCAAAGTCAACTGAGAAAAAGGATACAATTGAAACAAGGATTTTCCAGCTCCTAAGTTAATCGATCGACTAATGCCTTGATTCTCATATAAGTAATGCCTCATTTGATTCCTTAAGAAACATATTAAGAGGGAAACATTACCATCTCTCCCGTAACATCCTTCACATTTATGCCAGAGGGTGCAACAACGCTCTGGACTAGGAACTTATCTTTGCACTGCATGTCAGATGGTACTTCTCGCTGTGCTTGCATTGTCACTGCAATAATATATATATGCACAATTATCACCAAAAAAGAAGATAACTTGATCACATCAAGAACAATGGGGGAGGAAATCTAAAGATCACAAACCAACAACATCGCATGTAGATCGTGGCAAGACAACCCCTGTGTTGGGCCGCACAGAGTATTTCTTTGGGCTTGTAGTTTTCACCTGAGACAATGAAGAGAACAGGAAATATAAAACAACACAATACAGCCTCTTTGAGTTCATGATTTCTTGCAAGCTTAGTTTGAAGCGATTCCACTGCAAACCGTTCTAACGATTTCAGTGTCATTATGCAGTTATACACTGGAAGGTCTCACCTCTAACCATCGAATGGCAAGGAAAACAATGAAATAACATAGGTACACAAAAGTAATCAAGAATAATAAACCTACGGAATCAGTTGTGCGCGAACGTCCGCATGCGTGCCTCATAGCGCGAACGGCTCTGAACCGTGCAATCACTCGGCTGCCATACACACATCACACGTCATGATTCAACTCAGGATGAGACCACGGTGATGCGTTTGGTGCACAGTGTGTCGCACAGTAGTACTGTCCTAAACCTATACCACAGTCACACCAGAGGGCTGTATTTTGACAACAATTAAACAACACATACAGACGATGATTAGGATGTAGTAGTTGGCACCATATGCCAACAACATAACAAACTCCAAGGTGCATGCCATCAACTTCAAGGTATAGACAATCAAACAACATACAGACTTGAACAACGAAAAAACCATAAGAATGACCGGCGATTATGTTTGAGAGAGAAATAGCTCTAAACTGTTCATGTTCAATCTACACAACTAGTGAACACAATATTTGGTTCTTAGGCATCATATCATAAGACACAATTTTCGAGATCACTGATCAGGTCAAATCCAACGACATGATTCACGGAAACAAAAAATCGCGAATAACAGCTGTGACATGCAAATAGATGATATGCCACACCGAAACGTACAACGCATCAAAGCGTACATGGAACTGCTCCTGTTCTAGGGTTCCAGGACGATCTGTACGGAACAAAAAGATAAGCCAGAGATTTCTGGAAAGGACTAACGGACCTTGAAGGCGATGTAGTCATCGCTGAGATTCGACAGCTGCATCGAGCAGGAGATCTGCTTCTTCAACTCAACTGCTCAACCAAAACAACAGACGAGAATCACAGACCAATCGATCCACGGTGGAAGAAGAGAGCAAAAAAGGAGATCTTCTTCGCAGAGG